TCTCTCTCTCTCTCTCTCTCTCTCTCTCTCTCTCTCTCTCTCTCTCTTTCATCAGCTACTAATTAAGTAGTCCTGAGCTCTTACTTCATCGAAAAAATAATCAATCCATTCACAGATGCATGTGTTTCTTTGTTGCTCCTGACAGAACAAAAACTCCACCCTACCAAAAGCTTCTTCCTGTTCACCCTTTTTCAGAGACAAAGAAAGCTTTTAAGAGCCAATGTACATCTAAGAGTCTACCCATCTGCCTATGCAAATGAGAAACTGAAAATTTTATAGAGCATTAATTAAAAATGCCTCAGAATCAGCACATAAATACTTCTGGAACCATCATCTCTATACCAAAAGGCACTGATTAAAAGCGCATACTATTAAACAACAGTTATATTCTAGACTTTTCCTGTTTAAATAGCGTGTCAGATATCCTCATTATCTTCTAAGAGGCTTCCCAGGACCCTTGCCAGTCATGCTGTAGCAAGACAAAAGTACTGGGAGTAAGTACTTATTCATTTCTGTTAATACTGCTTCTGAATGAGACAGTGAATTAATGTGGAAATGGTAACTGGTACAATGCCTGGTACCAAGCAGTCCTCCAAGAATGGACTCTGTCTCTTACTCCTTTCCTCTCCATTTAAACACAACTCATTCTCATCTCCAAATTCTCCTGCTAAAATATTTTAACTACATAAGATTTGAGTTGAAAGTCAGTGTTTTGGCTCCTTTTAATTTTTTTTTCAGATTTTTTGTGATAGATTTAATTAATGTAACTAATCTAATATAAGCTGGTTACATGTTACCTCTATATTACGATGAATGTACTATTTAATCATAAAATTCAAGTAAGAGAGGAAGGAGATTAATTTTTCATCATTTCTTCCTGGGTGACATGCACTAACCTTATATTTTCACTAACATTACAATATCTACTAATATAACATCTTCCTTAGTCAAATTGGTCTATTTATTTTCCTCCCAATTTTCCATGCCTTTGCTCAGGTCTCTGTCTTGAATGATTTGAAACCCATGTTCCATGGAAAATCCTCGGAAACCCAAGGTATGGCTCTACTTTCCACTGTATTATTAACAATCTTCTTCCACAGACTGTGTACCAAACAACTCTATATCTTATTTATTTTTGAAAAAGTTTTCTCTATGTATAATTAATTATACAGACAACTGTGAAAAAACAATTGTGCTATTGATTCTTTCATTAACTAATACTTGATAGCCCCCAAATCCAGAAACATGAAAAAGTGTTTATGTACTTGTCTATTCCTCTTAACATGGGCATTAGACTGAAAGTTACATAAGATTTCAAGGAGGATATTCAACAGTGTGGAAACTAGATATAAGCAGCTGCTTGAATGAATCCAACTTTCTGCAACAAGATTCTATGAAACATTTTTGTGAAATTGAGCTGATGCCTCTGTGTTTTGATCTTGATGTCTGTATACAAGATGTCTAAGCTATCATATTTCCCTGAGGAAAAAGTCTAGTATGTAACATCTGGAGGACAGCTTGGAAAAGCATAATACAAAAACTAAGATTCCACAAGGGAATATGTTTAAAAGCATGAGAAGTTGTCTTACTTCAAAGTCTCTTCCTGTTTCTTACAGTTGATGATCTTTGAGGCTGCCTGCATTTTAACACATCATGCCCCAGGTTTTAAGTCAATTTCCTCTGTAAGGCAATTAGTCTCAGACAAAAAAAAAAAAAAAAAAAAAAACAACTTGCCAATTCATTATTTCCTTCCTCCTTTTTCAAGAGAATAGTGGTGGTGAAAATGATATCATGTTAGAAGTTATGTTCAGCAGACTCTACACTAGTCTTTATTTTTAGCCTTTATTCTTAGTTTACCAAATAATGAGGTAAGTCTAGATACGATATCCCAATGTTTTACTGCCATTGGTGGCCCCACACAAGTACATGTCTTAAAATTCTTGAGCGTTAGTTCCAGTATAATAACATAAATGGGCTTGATGAAATGGGGTCCAGGTCCTGTTTCTTGAATTAGTATTTAGAACTATCCACAACTGCAGAATTATGTAATGGAATGGGAAAAACTGTAACAAAATAGAAAAATGAAACAAAATTCTTTTCAGAGAAGGTTCCTATACCAAAATAATAAACAACTTACGCTGAAAATAATTATCTGCCTCACCGAAGGCCTTGAGGGAGTTGGTTTGTGTAAGAAAGGGTAGAGGATTTGAGGTTCCGGAGAGAAAAGTCTGGATGACAACACAAAAGAATCAGTATGAGGGGCACAGAAGGAGGGTGAGGAAGAACAGCACTGGAAGAATGATAAGGTGAGAGTTTGGAGTAAACAGAAATATTTAATGTGGGAAAGGGTTAATGGTGTGTTACAAGGGCCACCCTCTCTCTTCTCTCAGAATCTTCATTTAAATCTATATCAGTTTTAGTTTAGGGTTGTGTCTGAACAGACTGGAAATGAGAAGGCATGGAAACATCCCTACTTAGCTATGGAAGGAGGAAAGATCCAGCCTGTGAATGCAGAAATGAGGCTGAGAGAACCAAACATGGACAACAGAGAGAGGAAAACATATATGACCAATCGTCACAGCCTTATCTTCCTTTGGATACATGAATCAAGCCTTATTGTATAATTCTCCTATAAACATGCGAACTTTTCAAAGGCTCTAGAAATAGCTAAAGAAGTGAAACCTCTGAGGGCTAGAGTCGTTACTAAGAGTTGTGGATTATATACTAAGATTTACCCAGATTGGATGTAGAGAAAGAGAACACACAGAATCATTTGGCAATTTGACCCTAAAATTTGGAGGAACAGGAGTGGTGTTTTTGCACACAAAGCACTGAATTGGATTAAACGCCATCTCTAATCCCACATGTGTCTAATTAACACAGTTCTGAAAGAACTTTATATTGTATAGTAACACATGATTTTTTTAATTATAGACCTCAAATAAATATGAAATGCATTGTCATTTGCTATTATGCTATCCATCACAAATTTTGGGGGACAAACTTGGATTTATGGATACTATATTGATATAGGAAAAGTTATTTTAACTACATCAGTGCAAACTAGGATACAATAGCTCACTTTTTCCCAAAATATACATCTATACAATGATTTATTTCATGTCCAAAATTATTAAGAAATTTATAAACATGATTTATCATCTTAGAAGAGCATAGATTTGGGTAAATAGTTATATTGCCACCCAGTATGTCCTTCATATTCAGCAAGCATGTAGATAATATAGTTCACTTAAAATTCTTTGTATTTTCAAAGTTTTAATTGGCCTTTTTCTAAATATATAACCAGGAAATTAAATGTAACTTTAAAGCTAATGATTTTTCCTTTAAGAAACAAAAACATAGCCAGGCACGGTGGTGAACACCTGTAATCCCAGTGTCTTGGGAGACCAAGACAGGAGGTTCATGAGTTCAAAGCCAGCCTCAGCAATGGTGAGGTGCTAAGCAACTCAGTGAGACCCTGTCTTTAAATAAAATATAAAAATATAGCTGTGGTGTTGTGTCTGCCGAAAACTAAAAAATAAATATTAAAATTCTCTCTCTCTCTCTCTCTCTCTAAATATATATATATAGCTGTGGATGTGTCTCAGTGGTCAAGAACACCTGAGTTCAATTCCCGGTACCAAAAACAAAAAAAAAAAAAAGAAAAGAAAAGAAACATTTAATAAGTTTTATATGCTAACTACAATATGTCTTTTAACTATAGCTATTAATAGAATTAAGTTGTAAATAATTAGTTAAGGAAAACAACATAAAACCTAGTTGCAAGGTAATTATTTTCCTCAAAATAAGAATATGTGTTATGATGATATGACTTCTTACTGGCTATCTGCCAGGGCACTAGGAACCCTGCTAGGTTCTTTTCATAATTTTCATTTAAATTTCAACCTTCGTCCCTGAACATTATTTATTCTCATCTTATGAGTGAGACCATAGAGATTCAGAGATATCAGGTAACTTGCCAAACATCACAAAGCAAGAGGGCTGAGATATTAAATCAAATCTAACTTCAAAACTCACAGCCCTTCCAGTGAGCCAACTTCAAGAGGATATGAGTTCAGTGTAGTTTAAAATAATCTAGTTTTAGATTAAGTAAAAAAAAAAACTTAAGATAATATTATTCCACGTACAATGAAGCATGGATGCATATGCAGCACCAGATGTGGCTTAGACTGAGGAAAAGCCAGGAGCCTTCGAAGGGGAACTGAACAGTTTCCTTAAGTGTTCTAAGGGCTAATGGGAAAGTATTTGAAGCACAGTCAAAATGCAAAGAAAAACTTCCCTTTCAGTGAAAGTTAATGATGGAAACAACAGGCAAAATAATTGACCATTTCTGCAGAATTCAGTGTTTACTGGCATCTTTGACAATCTCATTTCAGTGACTGGTTTTGGTTGGTTTGCTTGTTTTTGTCTTTTGTTTTTTTCAAAAGGTTTATTTCTGTTCACAAAAGTCAACTTAGAAAATTTGTTTCCAAAAGTATTTCTCAAGAACAACTTTAAAAAAATTGTATTAATTTTATAAGGTTAACACAATTTAAAATAAAGTTAACCGTTGTTAAAGAGGTGCATTTAAGCATGATGGCTTTGAAGCTGGGGGGCTGAGCTGTGTGTTTCCATGTTGTCAATCTGCTCTTTCTTCATGCATGCACATGTACAAACCACTCAGAATGTCTTTTCTTTTTTCAATTTTTTCTTCTTTCAAAGTTCAGTAAGACTATAGCTAAAACATGGAGTTAATAATATAAGTCAAGCCAAGCATACATCTTTGTATGAAAAATTGAGATAACCAAGGTAGCATGTATATGCCTCAATTATCTGGATTCTCTGGTTTTTATTTCATTCTGCAAAGAGACACTGGTGGAGTCTCTGGGACACTGATCTCACCTCTTAACTTCCTGGGAAAAGTTGTGTTGGAAGAGGCTCCTTTGCAACATCACTTGCTTATTTATAAAGTGCCAGTGAGTCTCCCTTAATACTTAATATGGGAAACAAAAATTGGCACTGTGTAAAATACTTAGGTGAAACAAAGAAACAATTGTGGGTTATTTTTTTCCTAGTGTTTCAGACAGCCTGAATGAAAATTACATTCTTTATACTCATAGTCACTGAAACTCCAAGATGAATAAAGATTTAGGAAATAAAAGATTCACAAATAAACAGATTTCACATTCACTTAAGAAATCTGTTAAATACTATCTTGGACATATAAATAATATTCTGCCATAGAAGTTTCAAATTTCCTTGATGCTATTACAAAAGATAAAACAAAATAGCCATAATCTTTAAACAAAACTATATGAAAATGTAGTCAACGGAAAGAGAAAACACATTTCCTGATAGACTCAACAGAGATTATCAGTGAGCAGAAAGGAAAGACATTTCTAACTAAGTAGAAGTTGATTTGAAATAAATGTAAAATCAGTTTAAAAGAAAAAATTGTTATTGAAGATCATAGAAAACATTTTATTATCAACAAAAATGTCTTGGCTTGTGAGTTTTAATTGATGATCCTTCTATTACAAGTCAATTATATGCTATGGTATTTAAATAAAAAAGACTTTCAGAAGTGAAGAAAGAATATAATTTATGAAAGTAAGAAAAATTATCACACTATCATCCCCATTTGCTCTGTTTCTTAACATGATAGAGAATTAAACACATTGTGGAGCAGGGACCTCAAATATACCGTGCACAATCTGGTCCAAGTGTCCTGCCGAGTTGTAGCAACCTAGATACGATGGTATCATTGTGAAACAAGTGGTCATGTTATTCAGTCTCTTTTGCTTGTAAATGGAAAAAACAATAAATGAGTAAAAAGAGACATAAATCCAAGTAAATGAAAAATCCAAGTGGGGAACTAGTTAGGTACAGTAGATTAAGAGGTTTAAGTTAAATGTCATCATGGATATCCATGTCTGATCTTTGGTCTGTTTTATGTCTAGCTTCTTCCTGAGGGGGCTCTTGATACAGGAGAGCCACAAGGGCCACCAAGCTTACCAGAGTTTGGAAATCACAGCGAGAAACTAAAGCAGCTCATGCTGTTCCATCTTGCATTTGTGAATCATAATTGGAGTACCATGAAAGATTCACAAAGTGGTCATTTCTTGGGCCAGTCACCACCAACAGGAGAAAGGATGCCGTGAGTGACCTGCTGTGGGATTCCTGTCTACTCCTAAAAGCCCAACAATCATACTTTCATCAGCAGAATCACTCAGAGTGGAAATAAAGGCACTAAGGAGCTGTGCAAGCAAACAAAATAAGTTGAATTAAAAAGGATGTGCACCATGGTTCTTTGGAAGTCAGTGCCTTTCTCATTGTTGAATATGTTTGAGCAGGAGTTTAATAACAACTTGTCAATGATAAAAGCCCACATCTGCCCTTAACAACTAATGGACTCTGAACAAGATATCCCTCATTTACTAAATCGGTCAACAGATAAAACAGCACCACAACTCAGCAAAATCCTCTAACATGATGAAGCACAAGATAGCTGACATACCTGCCCTGAAAGTACTGACAACGTATACTCTCTATTCTCTAAAAGAAAAGATATTTGTCACATAATATGTGAGTGATTAAAGGAAGAGACAAATGTGAAACTGAAATCATAATACAATACATCCATGCAAACTATTAGTGATCATAATTAGAATTATGCATATTTGTGCCAGGAGAAACAGGAAGGAGATGAAAGTAACACTACCTCTTAAAGAACTTAATGTTCACATGCCACATGCAGATCACAAAGGTCTTGCTTGTTCCTTTCCTGTTTTTATTATTCTCCAATACAACATTATTTTGTGTTGAGAAGGATGAGGCTTCATGTGTATGTGTGTGTGTGTGTGTATGTGTATGTGTGTTTGTGTGTGTGTCTCCATGTGGGTGTCTATTTATCTTTCTTTTTGTCTGGAGAACAAAACATTGGAACCTCACAAAAACTGTATTTTGGTTTTCCAAGAGTGTTTTAATCAGCTATTTTGCTACTGTGACTAAAAGATCTGACCAAAACAATTGCAGAGGAGGAAGAGTTTATTTGAGGGTGCATGGTTTCAGAGGTCTTAGTCCATAGAAGGCCAGTTACATTCCTTGGGACTTGGGATGAGGTAGGACATCATGACAGAAGAGTGTGGCAGAGGAAAACAGCTCACATTATGATCAGGAAACAGATCTGTTGACTGATTTAGTAAATCACCAGATACAAATATATACCCAAAGCCACATCCCAATGCCCACCTCCTCCAGCTACACCCTACCACTTCAGTTACCACTCAGTTGATCCCTATCAGGGGATTAAACTACAGATTGGGTTAAGACTTCCACAACCCAATCATGTCTCCTCTGAACCTTCTTGCATTTTCTCACACATGAACTTTTGGGATACACCTCACATCCAAACCATAACAAACAGGTTCTGCAGTTCAGTCATGCCACTGTACAACTAGGATCTGGTCCCAAATTAATTATTTTATCCAGTAAAGATCACTATGGGGAAAAATCCCTCAGGTTGACTTCTGAGTCAGATGCAGCATCCTGCATTGGAGGTAGCAGTATCTTAGCTAGCCCTGTGTCTCCAGTGCCAAAGCACAGTGCAAGAACACCTGGGGTGTGAATATGGCTGTGGGTGGAATGAACTGCTTCTAAACACACTTCTGTGGGCAGGTACATTATGTGAGTGATAAGTTACCTCCTCTTTCTAAGCCTCTACTTCCTGACAAAATGGAAGTGAGAACTCATTTATAAACTAAAAAACCTAAATAAATTTAAAAGATAAAATATAGAAACATTGACTCACTGATCTTAATTCCTGAAGGTGCCCTGCTGTTTCCATTTTATTGTCCTGAATGAATCCCGGTTTTCCAATTGAAATCCATCTACCCAGAGAAGGAAGTCTAAGATGTAAGGATTTACAGTTTACTCGTCGAACTCAAATACTTTTGATTCATTCAATGGAAAAAAAGAAAAAAAAAAAAAAAGGCGCTCAGTTAGTCTTCTGGGGGAGTGCAATTGGACAATGTGGAAAAATTAAAAGTCACTTATCACTCTCTTAAATCACCCCTGGTTATATCATTCGTGGTCTTTCCCAGACACACATATAATATGATAACAGTTCTGATTTACAATGGGAAATGGTGGGATTAGGAGAAACCTTTAAATCAGACAGGGTTTGCCTAGTTTCCAAACCAACTAAGCAGGAAGAACCGCCTGCACCAGCATTAGATTTGCTCCATTTAAGAGCCTTTATATCTTCAAATCAGCCATGGCTTAAAGTGGATATTTCCTTCTATCTCCAAAATATTGATGTCATATCTTCATGCCAAGAATAAACTGAAAATAATTTGGAGAAGTTTCACTTCATCAGAGCAAGGCAAGTAGTATGTAGAAACCCTGCCTAGCTGACTGAAAACATGAGGTCAAAATAATTACATTGTCAAAACAATTACTTCAAAGGGGACATTTAAATTGCATAAGGAAATCCATCTGTAGATAAGGACCAATGTTTTGTGATAGCAGCACCAATGACATGGTGAATGAGTCTTTTGTTGTTCTATGTTTTCAAAAACAAAGGAGGTTTCTGAGTCAAAATTTTTTGGGGGGTATCAAGTGTTCCATGGGTGATATAGATCAATGGAGTGGGAGGTGAGTTTTGGGGTGTGTGTGTGTGTGTGTGTGTTCTGTAAGTCTCATGTTTCCATTGTTGCAGGCTCCAGTCATTTGGCAGTGAGAAGACCCGAAACAAGTAACTTTCCAATAATAAGGGAATGTCTTGTCAAAAGTCTGCTTGTTCCTTTCCTGTTTGTTTTACTCTCTGATGCAATACTTTTTTCTGTTGAGAAGGACAAGAATGTGTATATGTGCTTGTGTGCTTGTTTTTCATTCTGTACTGACGACAATAAAATAGCCAGATCTTAAAAAAAAAAAAAAAAAGTATCTTCAATTTTCCTATAGCTTCTGTAGTTCAAACATTTCCCATCATAAGTGACCCTGTTTCTTTTTTGACAGATATTCTATTACCTCATCTCTGTGTCTTCCAACATTTCTCCTGACACAGTACACTCAGAAACAACAAGACATCTGCTGGAGGTGGGCAGCCATAAAGGAGCTCCCATCTGGAGGATCACAACCAGAGTAGGGCATCAGCCATTTGGACTTTAGATGCCAGAATTAAGAGACTCCCTCTCCAAAGGAGCCAAAGTATGCATTCTTTCTCTGCAAACAGTATGACTAACATGGTCACCTAATTTTTCTGGAGCACCTTACAGACTTACAGATCTCTTTCTCACTGAAAACACATCATCACTCATTTTGGGATGAAGTTCTGTATGGGTTAGTGTAGTCTTCCTCAAATGCAGACTGCCTAAATTAGGCCTTTCACACTTTGGACTGACAGATTTCTCTCTAGATTGTCTGGAGACAATCCCATTGTCTCTGATGGGATTCTGTCCTGTATACTTTTGTTGCATTATTGTGCACTCAGGTGGGCTTTGGTAAACACGCAAGCAACTCATGAATGAACTTATAATGTATAGATTCACAGGATTTCTTTCAAAATCAAAGATGAAGGCTTCAGGGGGGGAAAAATAATATTAGGGTATTTGCACCTACAAATCAGTGTATGAATGCAAATTCATTCAGGGATGTGCATGGTGGTTTTGATAATTGTAGCAGAAAAGAATGCGCTTTTGCCTAACCGGGCCTGGTCTGGCCTCTGCCCAGGTATCAGGAGAGCCACCTTCCTGAAAGAGCCCTTGAGAACAGAAGTGTTCAGAAGACATTCTGAATAGTGAGGAGCTGAGGACACTGTGGTTGCTGGGCCGTGCTGTAGTTGACGATCACAGGAAAGAATGGTTGCTTCTAAGTTTTGATTTGTATACAACAGTGATTTCAGAGAGCTAAGGAGAGCTGGGCTGCTAATCCTTAAAACTGCTAATTCTTTGCTTGTTTTTATAAGGAAAGAACATAGCGTTGGAAGTGCTTGCATTAGTAAGTCTAAATTTATGTGCAAAATCTTTCTTCCTAAATCAGTCTAAATAAAGTCAGAATTTTTTTCTGATGAAAGATTTCTTTTGTGTCCCCTGAAGCAAATTAACTTACAAGAATGAAGTGGCACTTTCTTCACTCTGGTTCATTCTTTCCATTTTTTTCTCAAGCTCCACCATATGAGGCTCAGGATTTGGACTGATTTTATTCTTAAATTGTATCACACTATCTTGGCAAAAGAGATAGTTAACTTTCAAAATTGATTCGCATGGCTTAAACGTTTGTGAGTGTTCTCTGTTGAATTATTTTTAAATGACGTTACTATTAGTTGGTTTCAGCATCTCCCTGAGGAAACTGATGTTCTTGTATTTTAAAGATGCTGCTCAAAAACCTGGAATTGTTTCCCCCCCCCTTTTTTTTGTTTCCAGTTGAGGCTTCAAGAAATAGATCATAATCCACAGCAAAACATCAAACATCTCTATTTTTTAATTAGGCTAGTGTTTAATAAAAATAAAAATATTTGGCCACTTATCAGAAAGTCTTTACTAAAATGATGTCTAAACAATAATAAATATGCTTTAGAATTTGAAAAATAATAGTGTTATTAAACACTATTGTGTGTTGGAGGGAGTAGCTTCTGTCATCATTTAAGAAAAAAGAAAAAATCTTAATTAGTTATTTGAAAATCTCATCAAAATATTATTTACTTAACAGTTGATTTAAAATACACATAACTGGAGACAAACATGGCTCTCATCCTAATTCTTTAGACTTCAAAATTAGAAACTTTGGAAGAGAAAACCCTGCTGGTTTTCTTCTAATGTCGTGGCAGACTCAGTCGCTTCCTATAATTCAAACAAAGATCATCGGACTAAACAATCTGCAAAGCCAACTTTTTAAATACATTCAGCAAAATTTGTGCACAACAATTATTAAACAATTGGGTAAATTCCTTCTTGAGTGGGATCTGTACATATTCACACACACACACACACACACACACACACACTCACACACACACACACAGTATACATGTGAGGGTACATGGAATAAAAGCCATCCTATTGTGAGTATAAAGTTTCTTTTCAGTGAATCCTAGTTTAATAAAATCTTGCCTGTGGTTAAGTATTTGAAAAGGTTCATATAAAAATCAAAGATTCTTATTTCCTCAGCTGCTTTCACTGGCAAGAAAAACAGGTCTTTCTAAATTTTCAGAGATATAAAAGATAGTGTCAAGAGGAGCTCAACTAATCCCAACTTGTGACACTATCATGCTGGAATGTAATGCTCTCCTAG